CGACATTATTCATAGTTATCATTCTCCTTGTGCTAATATTTATTTTACTTACATTTTTAGCAATAAGATGAGATGTGTTGGATGAGATTTTATTTGTAAAACCAATGAAAAAGATGCAAGTGCAAGTGATTAATTAAATCCCACATAGTATAGAGAAAAACATGATTGAAAATGGTTCTTCTATTTAAAAGCTCAATGAAACAGAAGATGCATGACAAATAACTGGAAATATTTAAAATTTCACCAACTCATTTTGAGCTGACTACAATAAAGATTGAGCCAAATTTGAGTTGATGTTCTAAAAAAACAACAATGCATTAAAATTATCATCAATATATGAAACCGAATCACCTTTTCTAATCTATATATTGTGAAGATTAAATAAAAACCAAGATAATATAGGCGCCGAGAGAAAGGAGGATGCAACGGCGCAAAGATGGCAATCATCATGAGGGAAAAGAGAGCACATGAACACTGGGACGAACGACAATCGTCGAGGAGGCTTTGTGAAATGTTGAATATTTAAAATAATTCAAATTTTAAAATAAAAGATAATAACTGATATAATTTAAATTAAATTAATTATACTAAGATAAATACAAATTATTTAAATTAAATATACAATTATTTTTATTACCTTCAACTTTGATAATTCAAATTTAAGTCATTGTTATTTGACAAACTATTGTATTTTGAATATGAAGCCATTAACTTCAGGTCTTTAATGACTATTGAAATGGAATAACGATCTCTAAAATATAGTCATTCTTATGTTTGCTTGGATAAAAAGACTTAGTAATCATTATTTTTTATAGAATTGATATTTCATGAAATATTCCATGAAATAGATGAATATCAATTCCTAAAATGAATCAGTTGAATGATTATTCTATTTCAAAATTGATATTAATTAAAATTCTCTCTCCCATTATTATAAAATCTACTTTAAATATTATTTTCACCATCCCAATATAAAAACATATTTTTCTATTAACTCTAATGCAACTTACTCCTTAAAATAAAATAAAAGATTATTATCACTGTGCACCATGGACTTTAAGATCATTTCTAATTTGCTTTTGAACTCTAAAATCTCTCACTTTACTTCTTGAACTTTGCATTGTTCCTACTTAATCCTCTATGTTGTAATTTATGTTAAAAATAAATAGAAAAAAGAGAGTAATATAGTTATATAGTCTTTCTATTTGAATTTATGTTAAGAACAAATAGATAAAAGCACATGGTCACATTCCACTCCCTTTTTTTCCGTCTGTTTTTAACAAAAATTTTTATAAATGGCTTAAATAGTAAAAATTTAAAATTTAAAGTTTAAAAGACAAAGTGAGAATTTTTATAATTTAAGAAACAAAGTATAGAGAGTACCAATAGATTAAAACCTCCGATTTTTACCGGCGCAAGAGCACTGCTACTGCAGGTTTTTATCTTCCATTCATTACTCATGTATTGTTTGATTATCACGTGTTTTTTTTATTAATATTTTTGTTGTTTTTTTTTTTTTTTTTGAATTGCTTGAATTAGGTTCATGTCCTGTGAAACTAATATTTTGTTTTTGTTCAATTTATATGAGTTGGGAAGGGATAACAGAGGGGTGATATATAGCACGTATATATTTGAGTATTTAGTTTATGTTGTAACCTGCCACAATCAATATATATATATATATATATATATAAGCACGTATAATCATATCAATATTTTCACTAATCTCTACTCTATCATGTACATATTTGAGTATTTAGTTTATGTTTTACTATTTTAGCTACCTCACCATAGATAATACATTTGAGACCTTTTATGTTAGAATGATATTGATGCATTTAAATATTTTTATATAGTTCACTTTGATTTCATTATTTGAGTAATTAGTCATATCAAAGTTAAAAATATTTGAATATTGGTTATATATCAACCTTAAACGTTGAGAAAAAAAATTTTGAACAATATTTCAATCTAGTTTTAAAACATTATTAATGAATAAACGAATGGTTATTCAGTCAAAACATATATTTTGTCATTAATTCACGGAGAAATACTAGCGTTATTTTTTCTGCGACTCTTTTTATCACTTTATGCATTTATTATTTGACATGTGCACTCAATTATCTCATTTTCTGGTAAAATAATAATGAGAAAAGAGATAAATACCCTTAAAGTGCATGAGTCTAGACTTGTACTCTTGATTTATATCATTTTTCGTCAAGTAACTATATCAGTTAAAAGGGTATTAATCAAGAGGAATTTAAATCTATTGTCCCTATTTTTATGTCTTGCTGGCTTTCTCTCTACTATTTATTTACAATGTCATCTAAATTTAAGAATCTAACCACCATGAATAGGAATAAAATACTAAAAATACTAAAGCAATTCACGAGATGTCAAAATTTAATCGGAGAGACAGCTACTGAGATAGAAAAATGAGACAACAGATTTGAACTCTAATTGAGAGTGAGGGGTAAAAATCTGAACTCATGCACTCTAAGAGTAAGTTTAACAATTTTCTCAATAATATATATATATATATATATATCATATTAGTGGAGTTCACGTGTAAAATAATAAATACAGAAAGTGATATATAGAGTGAAAACAAAAGTGACGCTAGCACTTTTTATATGACTAACCAAATATAATAATTATGATTCCAATATTAATTTTAATGTTCAACCCAACAAAAAAATTTGAATAAAGCATTTAATTTATTCTTTTTCTACTTTTATTGTATTCCTATTCTTATTCTATTCCATCAAACTAAACCCACCCTAAAAAGAAAAAAGTTGCAGTTCAAAATTGTCCAGCTTCTCTCACTTGTTGTGCTCCACCTTGCTGGCTACGACTGTGGTTGCGAATCAAGAATATTGTGTAATTGCTCTTCCTGTTCTACAACACCAATGAAAAGTTATGATCTAATTAGTATTGTTTAAACGGACAAATTACATAAATTAACTCCGATTTATGATTTTTTTTTTTACCTTATTCCCTAAATTTGAAAATTAATACGTGAAATGTGTATGTTTTATTGGTATATTGCATAAAACTGATCTTGTTGGCTACAACATCATTTGTAATCATATTAACGCTTGGACTACAACTAGTAGTCGAATTGCTAACTATAATTTAATTGACAAAATTGCAGGTAACTTGACCTCACAACTTCAGGACCAAGTTGAGAGAAACTTATGTCTAATAATTTTACTTGATTTTGATTTTATTTAGAATTTCCCGCAATTTCAACTTTAATAACCTTTTGGTTCATAGGTTTAAACAGAAATATTTAAATAGAAATTTAAATTTTATAAGAAAAAATATTAACAAAAAGATTTAAACAATAATTAAATAAACGAGTAAAGTTGCGTATATATGTGCTACACAAGTACTTCTGGATGAATTCGATCTCAACTTGTGGTCCATATTGTCGTGCTGAGTCAGTGCCGATCAGTCCTTGCGTAGGTTTTCTTATTGTTGATCTAGAAGATGCTTTGATCTGAATTATTAGTGGACATCATAATTTTGCAATTTTGCTGCATTTGAAACCGAACTATTATCAAATTTGATGGTTCATACAACTGTTTGTTTGTTTCCTTATTTTGGTGAACATATCAAAGACACAAAACTGCAAGCCGGTCCTTGAAAGGGACCATATAAATCACTTTTTAAACCCAAATTTTTTTTTTTTTTTTTTTTTTTTTGCTGGAAAAAAAGTTTTTCTGTTGTCAGCATGTTTATATCAATTATCAAGTTGTCAATAACCCACTTGGTTTCCGACTATAAAAATTCTAATTATAGGGGAGCAAAAGTAGAAGAACGGTTGCAGATGAAAAATGTGTAATATTTACAACTAATCTAATTATATATATATATATATATATATTTCAAAATCATTATATATTAGATTTAGAATGCATGATTAACACCAGTAAGCATAATTAAAAATTACCCATGTGGAATGTTAGGCCCGTAACTAATATCTTGTAGCCTATTTAGGTGTCCATGCCACTATCACAAAACGTGCAACATTGTCATGCTTAATTATCACAGATCATTACCGCATTAAATAAAACAGCCGTGATAAAACATGAGACTATTACTTGAATTAGTTAAATTAGGCCCCATGTGAAAACTTTGTTGACTTGTGTCGGTCCAAACAATAACAGACGGACTTTCTACATCAACCAAGTCTAATTAACTAGGTCTTTAAAAAAAATCGAATTAATAAGTGGTCAGTACAGATTATTAATAAACAATATAAAGTGTATATTAGTTATTTAATAGATTCAAACTATATCCAGTTTGTCCCACAGGATTCTTTTCTGCTACCTCGACCTGCAAAATTACCCATATTTAACGCGCGTGATCATTAAGCATGCCTTCTTAACAATCAATAATTTTCTTTTAATGCACTTTTATATTTTATGAACAATTTACACCTTTTTTTTTTTCTTCTTTTTGCAAAATCAGGCAAGTAAATAAAACTACATTATTAAAGTTCCATAATGTGAAAAATATTTGGTTCAAAAAAATAATAATGTGAAAAATATTATTCTAAAAAAAAAATGTGAATATTATTTCGAGGAGCTTTCCACAAAGTTTTGCAAACTACATAATTATCTAAATCGTCAAGTGGTCATCTCTTTCTCTTTTCCAAATTTAGGATACCAAGCAAGGTTATTTGTTCACAATAAATATACGTACGTACATACATACATACATATATATATATATATATATATATATATATATTCCATGCACATTCGTAGACACGTCCTCCCACAAAGTTCACTTTATCCCTTTCTCTTTCTTTAAACCCATCGGCTGCGTAATGCCTTTTTCTTGCTAATTTCCCATGAACAAAAATGGTTCCTCTCTCCACCTTCCCTGATCATCTCCTTTATCTCCTCCTTTTCTACCTCTAAATAAAACTCCTATGTATTCATTTTGGTAAATTTCTGTTTTTGTTATAGATAATTAAGTTCTATTTATAGAATAAACAAGATATATATTCAACCTAGATATTGATTTTGTTTTTCCCCTTGGTTTTATGGGGACTGGTTTCTCTTCCTTAGCTATGTTAGAGATCAATGGAAGCTGTAGTACTACTTCTCTTTCGCCGGTTTCGAAACCGTGGGAGCTCGGCGACTTGCCTGAGAGTTGTGTCTCGTCCATTCTCAAGCACTTGGATCCTCCTGAGATCTTCAAATTGGCGATGTTGAGCCGGGCTTTTCATAGCGCCTCTTTGGCTGATTTCATATGGGATTCAAAACTACCACCAAATTACAAGTTTCTTGTTGATAAAGTTCTTCGTATTAATGGTTCATCTCTAGATTACTATATGCCAAAGAAAGTGATTTACGCCAAATTGTGTCAACCCAATCGCTTTGATGGTGGCACCAAGGTAGGTGTATTAGTATTATTATTATTATTTTTTTATTCTTTTGAAAAAGAAATCTCAATTAAATTGCGAGATTTGGCAAAATATTTTGTGGAACTTTTTTGTATATATTTAATTTCTTCGTGTATATATATATATATATATATTGTTACCATTTTGGTTTGTACAAAATGGATACTATTTTAGATGATAATGAGTGATTAATTTTGGTGTTGTTATCCACCATATAATGTAGGAAGTGTGGCTGGATAAGAGTAGCGGGAAAATGTTTTTGTCGATTTCGTCAAAGGCATTGAGGATAACGGGAATAGGTGATCGGAGATATTGGAACTATATTCCAACTGAAGAATCCAGGTGAGATTTTCAATGGATTTTGTTGTTTTTTTTTTATCCCCTTCATATAAGGAATATATTGATCAACTACGCGTAGGGAATCCGGTTTTCTTTCCTTCCAAGCATTTTCGTTTGAAATAATTTAAAATTAAGCAAAAAAAAAATAAAGACAATAGTTAAAAATGAGGAAGAACTAAAGAATAATAACATAAATAATACGGTTAATGTATAATTTCACATGTTAGGTTTAGTACGCCTCTTCCACTGTTGGGAGGGCTTAATTAAAAAAACTTGATTTTGGAAAATCATCATTTTCATTTTTTTTTTTAATGAAAATTTTGTGTCAAGTATCAAGGATTAAAAGTATTTTGGTTCTTTAGATATACGTGGCTATATTAGGATGTGATTTGATTTTGAGAAATGATCTATTTTGTCAAGCGTTTTGCAGCAAGAAAGTTCCAGGAAATTGGCACGATTCCGTGGAATTTGTTTTCTTTTCTTTTCCATATTGATCACATTACAAAATAATATATTAAATATGATAATCTCCCCTTATACTGAAAAAATTTGCAAATACATTTTCAAGGTGGGGGCCTTGGAGAATAGAAGATATATTATTCCGGCATAGTCTAATAAGCTTATCTCCTTTACTTAATTTAAGCAACGACTTGGCTTGGAATTAAAGCATTTTCTTTTGATCTTATCCATAATTTGCTTTGTAGATGCCTTGTGTAGCGAATACCATTAATTGACATTTTCTTAATTAATTATCTTGTTGAGTGGTTTAGGCTTTCCTTAATTAATTAAAAGGCATAATTACCATAGAAAAATAAGAAAGGAATATTATAACATTTTTGTCACAACTCACAAACTTATTGATGTACGTTTTTTTTTTTTTTTTCTTTTTATTGCATTAACAGATTCCAAACAGTGGCATACCTTCAACAAATTTGGTGGGTTGAAGTATTAGGAGAGTTAGATTTCGAATTTCCACCGGGGAATTATAGCGTTTTTTTCAGATTGCAATTAGGCAAAGCTTCAATTAAGAGATTTGGGCGACGAGTTTGTAATCTTGATCAAGTTCATGGCTGGGACATAAAACCGGCTAGATTCCAGTTATCAACATCCAACGGCCAGAAATCCTTATCAGAACGTTATTTGCATGAGCCCGGGAATTGGCTCCATTACCATGTGGGTGATTTTGTTGTCGAAAGCACCATCATGATGAGCATAAAGTTTTCAATGGTCCAGATTGATTGTACACACACCAAAGGTGGTCTTTGCTTAGATTCTGTGTTGATTTACCCAAGCGAGTTTAGGAAAAATTTGTTACAAGCATAGTTTGATCATGTGATAGAAAGTATGTATAGAGCAATCAGTTTGATATATCTTTTTGTGGGGTATGAATGATTGGATTTTGTTCATTTAAAGCGATTGAAGAAATGTTCATGTCCTTTTCTTTTTTCTTTTTTTTTTTTATGTATGCAATTTGTTATTTTTTAAGTTCTCTTGCCAACTTCAATTTTCAGAAAGTCCATGCTTATCTATATATCATCTTAGACTAGATAATGTTATTGGCGTTCATATATACTTAACATGTACACAAATCTATATGAATATCAATAAAAAGAATTTGAAGTGTCGTGGGGAAAGGTATCTTGAACCAACAAATACATGGACAAATTACATGTTTGTTCTTAGATTATAAGCCTTGTCACAAAATATCCATCTAATTTTAATTTTAATTTTTTCTCCTAATTATAGTTATTATAAATTTTCTCCCTCTGTTAAATTTTTAACGGACATAAATAATATATACTATATAAATGCTGAGTGTCGTTTAAATAATTTAGTAAATAATTATTCTATTAGCTCCTTCTAATGTACTCACATGAAAATACAATTATAGAGTAGGAGTTATTATTATTATTTTTTATTATACCTACTCTTTTTTTTATTTGCTTGACCTAAGAACCTTTAAGAGTTCATAAATGACGGTCGGCGACAATAAAGGAAGTAAAAATTTAATAAAAGAAAAACTTTACAAGAGTTATTGAAATTTAAGAGAAAAAAAAGAGCTAAAATTATTGGGGCGGCATTTTATGACGAAGGGTATAATTCAGGAGCAATTGTGTAATTTTCTCTAAAAGCATAATATGAAGTCAAATGCGTTGTGTTTTAACTTTCAATTATGCACTTTTGATAGGCATTATAGAGTCTCTAGTCTACTAAGCACCCATCATTATTGAATAGTGACGGACCACCAAGTAGTGCAAATTAATAAATGGCATTTCTTTTATCGTGCTGCACAGGTAGGGCAATCTGGTTTAATCATTCATTTTGTTTCTTTTTCACTCTTCCATGTTGTTGGGAAATCAAGATAAAGTAACACATTATGAGTCCGTTTATTTTGCTGATTTGAGTTTATAATTTGAATTGAGATGTGATTTTGTGTGAGAGCTTTTTACTGTAACAAAAAAGTTAGATGTGACTGTTTTTTAGAACTTTTTACTGTAGCAAAACTCGAATTCTAAACTCAAATCGGTAAAATAAACAGTGTCATAGATCAATTAAAAAGGCCCTCCCGAAAGGCCAAAAGAAAGGGGGCAAAAAAAAGAAGAAGCAAATATTTTCGTCTCCCAGAGGGACAAAACAAGAAAAAAGCCAAATTTCTCTAAACACAAACATATGCTTATGAAGTCTCGATAGGTGGTCTTAAGAGATGGAAAAGAAAAGGAATTTTCCATGGAATAAAATTATTGATGGACAAGGGAAGGATTACGTGTAATTAAATAGTAAAAATTTACACTCCATGTCATGTTTACAAGAGTGCAATTAAAATATAATAATTTTTTCAAATACTATAGAAATATAAAAAAATTACGTTATAATTATTATAATAATTTTTGTATTTTACATTTTACAAAATTAAAAGAGTAAGTATTATACTGATTTCAATGTTTATTATTTATAAAAAAATTCCACTTTCTTTTTTTGTTATATTTCAACATCGATTATGCTATATGTATAATTCACTCATTTCGATCATGTAAATGGTTAATTTCTAAAACATATATATTTATTCATTTATTTATTACAAAAAAAATATTTACTAAAAAAGTACTAATAATTTCTTGGATATATCCCCAATATTTCTCTCCGTGGCTTTTCTTTTCCTTCTATTTTTCATGGGTGTAGTTTTAACGGTTACTCAAATATTTATTCATCAATGGGTATTATTATTTTAGCTATAAGATATTAATCTAATTTTTATAATAAATTTAATAATTGACAACAAAATTTAAAATAATTAATAAAATTAAATTTTTATCACGACATGTCATTAAATTTCTATATATATAATATAACAATCGATAGAAACGTAACAATTGAAAACTCGTATATATATATATATATAATATAGATGAGTTTTAAATTGTTATTTTTCATCAATGATTACTTCTAAATATAAAAATTTGATGACGTGATGAAAATTTAATTTTATTAATTGTCACTAATTTTCTTATCAACTCACACTAATATCTTGTGTTTTAAATAGTTATTTTCCATCGATAGTTACTTTTAAATATACAAATTTAATTATGTGACGTGATAAAAAAATTAATTTTATTAATTGTAATTAATTTTTTTTTTCAACTCACACTAATATCTAGTGGCTAATACCCATTAAAACCATGTAAATTGTAATTACGTTCATTTATATCTAACAACATAATCGTTTTTATAAATGGTTCCACCAAATCCATATCAGATTTTTACAAGCGGGGCTTTTCTGTCACTCAATTCTTTTACGTCATCCAAAACTGTGCTCAGTCGGTGATTCCAGAGGTTCCCTCTTTCTTTTCTGTCTCTTGCGGAGGAGGTTTGAAATTCTTTTCTTTTTTCTTTTTTCTTTTTTTTTTGTCTTTTTTTTTTTTATCCATTTTTCCTTTTCGTTAAACCGTACTTCTTTTCTTTCCTCTCCTTATTCCCCAAAAGTATATTCTTTTTTTCGTTTCTTAGAATTTGCCATTCGTTTATTCAGTTTCACTGATATTTTGCAATAAGCTTCTCAGTTTGTTTGGTAATCTGGTATGTTTGCCACCAAAAGATGGAAACTTTTACTAATTTACATGGCCTTTGGACAAAAAGCTCTTGGTGTTTTGGGGTTGTTTGTTTGAATTCCAATTTCCAACTTAATTGTTATGCTTTAATTTGCAGAAGCATTAGATTCTTCTTTTGAGGATGCCTAAAGCGGATAAGAATGCTGATTTTATATATTGGCTTGGAACTGACATATCAACAAAGATTCTCACCCATTTAGATGACCCAGCTGATCTTGTCCGTGTTTCCTCTGTTTCAAGGCTTTGGCACCGATTTGGTAACCCATTTTGTTAAAATTGTTAGCATTTTGGTAAAGGATTTGTGTCAATTTTCACAATTGCTATCTACTTTTCTTATATATATATATATATAT